ATAAATGGACTAGAATTTGGTGACTACTGGAAACACTACTAACGGGTTAACTTTTTTGGTCACCCTTTTCGCCCATTTTCCACGTGTAGTATATACTCCAAAAGAATGAGACAAATGCTATGACTAGGGATGAAAATTTCAGTGAAATTTTCATTTGAACATTTCATTTAGGCTAAATGTTGAAATTTTGGGCTAAATTTTCACAAAAATGTGAAATGTTCATATGTTTTTCAACTAGATACTTTTAATGTGGTGAAATATATAATAAACAAACTAATTAAAACATGTTTCATTTTAAATAATAATAAAAATTCTTTTGGTTCTCTAGATATTTCAAATTATTTAAAGATTCTTGCAAATTCTTGAATATTCTGCTATCAATTCTATGAATATTTTACTTAAAACATAAGTTCTAAATTTCGATTCTGCAAACTAATAATATACTAATGATAAATAAGGCATTGTGATTAGTATTTAAATAAATTATTTTTACTTAATAAGAATTAATTTAGATTAAATTACAGAAATTAGTGATTTATGTAGTAAATATGTAGAATATAGATGACGCTAATATAGAGTGATTGAACATTTAGCCTAAATGTTCAGCAAGACCCCTAAACGTTCCCTAAATTTAGGGCTAAATTTAGCCCTAAACGTTCCCAAAATTTCACTACTAACATCTCTAGCTATGACTAGTCCTCTATAGTTGAGTGCAATGAAATAGTAGTTCACTAGACTTACGAATGGCCACACTTTCCAAACGGCACACATTATATCCCAGTAATCATTACGAATGCGGGCCTCCATTTGGGCCAACGAATGGCCATTCAATGCGCCCAACACTCCGATGAATGCCAATTGTATCAGCGGTAAGAAAAACAACTACACGTATAAAATATAATTATTATAACTTATAATGTGTTTAACTAAAAGGCACCTGGTATCTAATAAATACCTGTTCGGTGAGCAATTTCTTGATCGGGGTAAATGTGCCGCTCGTGCCGTACACTCTCTCCAAAAATAAAAACATATATCTATTCGTAGGTCCCAAACATAAGAGTCCAAATGCGGCGAACTTTGCCGTCCGTTTCCAATTCATTTCATGTCTCTTCTCCAACCCTTTCTGTGCGATCACATCTCCCGTCCCAACCAATACACCGGTTGTCGTGCATTGAGTTATCAATGGGTATGCCTTTAGGAGTCTGTTATACACACCAAACACTCTCATTAACATGATTAACAAATGGTTAACTCTAATTTAACTGCAATTATTTGATTTAATTAATTTAAATAATTGTAACTACAATACTCACGTGAGGCGTCAACAATCCATGGCTGTAATAGTGGCTGAGTTTTTCAAATATAAAAATTAAATTAATTGTAATAATACATTATAGTTTGCAGCACATTATTTGAAATAATTTATTTCATACACGTATACTTTACTGTACATGGTTTGTATGAAGTGTTGAACAATTGATTGTAGCTCAATGTTTGTTTGGGATTTCATTATGTGTTAGTAAAACACTCGTTATAATGTAAATAAAAAAGTATTTAAATCATTTTTTATTAAATATCAGAGAACAGAGTTTGAATGACTATAAATCTATGTAAAAGTAATTGAAACTTAACTATATTGAATTTAACACTTTAAACATACACTTCAGACATTTAAATAGTGTCAAAATCCTTGAAAGTAATTCAATTACTCAATTCAAAATAGATAAGAGCATATAATCTAATAATCATACATCATATCTACAAAATATTTATCTCAATTTCAATGTATAAACAAATACTAAAAACTTAAATATTGTTTAATTATTTTTGAATTATTGAACACATATTGATAGATTAGTAAAAATTTATTTTATCTTGTTGGAAACTTATTAGCATGTCTAATAGTTTGTTTAATCTAAATAACTGACTATACAATCAACCATTAGCAAAGTGTATGTGAATAGTAATAAAATTACTAAAAATAGTGTATTTTGCAACACATTGCAACGCACAAAATACCATATTTTAAATTACCATATTGAGTTTTGCAATACATTGCATGTGAAAATCAAATTGCATAACAGTGAAAATGTCTCCTCCGTTGTACTCATCATTAAATGTGTCTAATATAGTGCTGTCGTCGGCACTACTCTTCGCCATAACGGGTGCTCTGGTCTATGCGGTCCGGAAGGCCACTAAACGGCACCGGAATTACGTAAAAGTGGCCAAAGTTTGCAAACTAATAGTATATCCCATCAAATCACTACCCGGTGTGGAAGTGGATCGACTCGATGTGACAATTCACGGCTCGGCGTACGGGCCCTTTCGGGACAGGTATGTCAGACAATTATGATTACAATTGTAATGATATTACTGTGCTAGTTATTTAAATAAAATAATTTTTAATTTATAAATTTTACATACATTTGTTTAATAATTATAATTTTATCAAAATCATTGATTAATAATTTACTGATAGTTTTTAAAAACAGAGGTTACTTTAAAATTATTTATTTGGCCACTATACACGCGTAAACTTCTAATGATATTATCATTTTAATGTATCAAATATAACGTATTAAATATAATGTTTATAACTTTAGTATAATTTTAATCACAAAAACACAAATAAAATTTAATTACAATAATAGCAAAAATATTTTATTTATACCCTTTCATCCTAATCCAATTATTTGTTACTAAACAGTTTTTCGTATAAACAAACATTATGATAATTTTAAATAACAGTTTGTTTTACATTTATATTATTGATCTAACACTTTAATAGAAAATGCATATTAATCATAATAATCATCAATTGATCAAGTTTTATAACTTTTAAATCAAATATCAATAATATATTTATAATTAATAAACAAATATGAATATAACATGTAAAAGATCCTGGTTATTGGTGGACAACGAGAACAGAATGATTACGCAGCGCACGGAAGGCTGCTCTAAACTAGCCATGCTCACTTTGCAATTTCGTGACAATCAACTCTGGGTCGATGGACCAAATATGACAACACTTAAACTTAACGTTATAAACAAGGCTAACAATATGGTCATAAATACCAGGTAAATTAAATCAGGTTTAATACAAACTAATTAAATGACCAAACAAACAAGCTAATATAAAATACCCATATGATTATACAGTGTATTTGGCGATGCAGTCGATGGCATATACTGTGGCAAAGAGGCGGAGGACTATTTCAGCGCATACCTCGACAAAGAGGGCACTAAACTCATACAACACACCAAAGATATGTGCGGCCGACAGGGCTTTCTCGAAGTGAACGGCGAGCGGTTGGACAGAGTCAGCAAATATCCCGTAAGTAATTAACAACAACAAAAACTAGCTAAAAACAAAACTAGCTTAACTAACAATTATTACGCGCTTAACCCAATAGATCCTATACCACGACAATTCTGGTCTATTGGTGATCAATCAGTCGTCGATCGACGATCTGAACGGCCGGCTGCCGGCCGACGCTCTGTCGACCACATATCGTAACTTTCGGCCAAATATACTGATCTCCGAGTGTCAGGCCTTTGATGAGGACAACTGGGCGTACGTCCGCGTCGGGTGCGTCCACTTCTCGCTCGTGAAGCCTATGGATCGCTGTATATTCACTACTATTGACCCAAACACTGGTCGTAAGGACGGCGTCGAGCCGTTGAAAACACTCAGATCGTAAGCAAAACATTGAACATGATGATCGCTTTATTTTTGATACAGTAATTAATTATAATTATTAAAATTATGGTAATATTTGTGTTTTCAGATACCGTTTAGCCAGCGATAAGTTGCGGAAAACGTACGGCACATCTCCACTATTCGGCGCCGGTATTGGAGCCGAGACTGAGGGACAGATACAATGCGGCGACGATTTACTGGCCGTTTGGAAACAATGATTGATTGCTTCAATAGCTTTATTTTCACCATATTATGTTAAATCTTATTTACATTTTTTATATACCTTAAAATTAGAAATTACAAATTAATTAAATATTCTAATTATTAATTAGCTAGATCACTTTATATCTTACTACTGTATAAAAATTAATACAAAATTGGGATGTATAGTTTTATGATATTATTACTAGAATATTATTAAATTGTTACATGACAAAACTTTTTTACATTATACAGTAAAGTTGTAGCTTAAGCCAGCAATTGAAATATCCCTTAATTGAATGCATATAAACTCGAGTTTTGTTTGCTTATTACAGTTTGCCATCAATGTTCTACTTATGAATTAAATTAGCTAGATGTTTAAAACATTACTTTTAAAAGTATATACAGTATGTGATAAGTTAAGCCATGAGTTTTGTGCTGTTCACGAGTAATTCTTAAACTCCGGGACATCTGTAAAAATTACGTGTTATTCAATAAATTGTTTAGGGATTAAAATGAAGTTTAAAAAATATATATTTTATTATTATTTTAATTATATTAATATTCCATTACATATTTAATATTATATTAATTAACATTATATTGAATAGAATATATTTAACTAAAGTTTATATAAACTTATTTTGTAACAAATAGCAATTGAATTATTTTAAACAATATAGTTAAGCAACTGTAAAAACAACTGTAGAAACAACTGTATAATAATATTATAATATTGTTTCCAAAATTGTTAACTAAGTTATTGTTTCAAAAAAAGTTTATGTATTATATAGTGATACAATTTATTGAAGTGCAGCCAAAACTTTTTCATTCATTTCCGCGTTCATTTGATCCAAATTAGGAATACTATTTATTATCGCCACTTCTATATTATCGTTACCATCCTGGACATTTGAGAAAATTGAATATATTTGTTATTATTTGGAGAGAGAGAGAGAGAGAGAGAGAGAGAGAGAGAGAGAGAGCAACTTTCAGTAGTAAATAGCATTAGTGAAGGAGGTGTAAATTGCTGTATCAAACCTGTGCGGCGGGTAATAAGTATGCGTCGCGTGATTTGCCAATCAATTCATCGACATCGTCCACATTGTCAAATACAAATGGTTTGATCATGATCAATTTGCCCACACGTTTGGACCACTTTTTGCCGATTGTCATTTTGAGCCGATTCGACAACTTCTTCCTCTTCTCCGCCCTATAAGACAAAAGCATCCGAAGTCTGGCCAACAAAATGGCGTATATCTCGTCGATGTCGGGCGCCACCAGACCTTTACCCGCGAAGTCGACCAACTCTGTAGTGATCAGTCGTATGCGGGCCTTAGTGTCGGTCTCTTTCTTCAAATCGCGTACAATCCTATCCCTAATACTGTCCGGCATTTCGCTAAACAACATATGTATCATAAAAACCAACACTTCTTCTTCTGAGAGCTGATCCCCAGTGAACCTCTCGTCGGACAACACATCAATGATTACCGCTTTGTCTACAATTCCTTTGAGCAACAATTTGCTGCAAGTGATGGCACCGTCTAAATAGCCGACCACATCGTACCCGCCGTTTGGTTCGAGTTGTTTCAACAGTTTGATAAAGTACTCATTCAGCTCTTTGATCGTGGTCAATTTGGACATTTCTCGGTTCCAATTGAGCCCCACTACAGGCCGTTTGAGCGATTGTGCCAATTGTTCAAACATGGTGAAATTCAACATAAGAGTTGGCATTAGATATACGGGTCGACCGGTGGTCACGGCGTTCAGACGGGTGTGGGTTTCGGTGGGAATTACAAATTTCTGTTTTAACAAATTGGCCCTGGCTTGTTTCAACTCATCCAGGTGCTTTTTCACATTTGCAATATTGCCCATCTCGTAGTCCTTCAACATACCGATGGTTATACTCTTGACGTGATTTAACGATACCTTTATAGTCCACTCCCTCTCCAACTCCTGTTGCAACTCCACGGCGAACATCGACTCGAGCCCTATCTCGCCGAGAGTTAAGTGGTTGGGCGTCACCTCCGGGTCGATACCCAACGCGCGCCACAACTCTGCGATCATACGTGACTTTTTACTGCCCGACTCTTTGACACTCATATCAACTTTAATCTATCAAATTGTATAAATATTTTGAAATTGTTTTAAAACATTTTATAATTAATATCAAACATACATAAGACGTGACGACCGGTTGTTTGATTGATAAAAGTTTGTCCAAAACATCGCAACTCGAGTTTATTCTCTGCTTTCTTATTGTCGTAAATGCCATCAACTGATCCGACCCTTCAAACACTCCCACATCACCGATGGGTCCGTATTGTATGGCGAGTCCGTGCAGACCATCTCTACGTCTTTCTTCACATATACGCTCACACATGGAGTTTCCGAAAGCATAGTTGGATTGACCGCCGTTTCCTTTACCACAAGCTATGGATGAGAAAACAACGAAGTAATCCAATGTATAGTCCAATTGTCGGGTCAGTTGATCCAGATTTGCAAAGATCTTGTATTTTGTATCAATAGATGAGCATAACTTTTCAAACGTTAACTTTTCTATCAAACAGTCGTTCAATTCTATTGCTAAATGAAATACCCCTCCAATGGGTCCCAACTTTTTGGCCTCATTTAGCAGTTGTTTTGTGCCTTCAGTTGTGAACCCATTGGCAGTCGAGACAATCCATTGACATTCAAATAATTTTAATTTTTGGTAAAAAATTTTGAAGCGATTGAAAACGTATTTCTGATAATCAGTCTTAAGGCCTGACCGGGAGGTGACCACAAACTTTCGGGCGCCGAAGTATTGCATCCATGGAATCAATTCCAGACCAAAACCACCCAAACCTCCGGTTATTATATAGACTTTGTTTGGATCGAAGAATGTCTTAATCATTGTATTCATATTTACGGCCGGTTTTATCGCTTTCAGTGGCCGCCTATCCATCTCTTCGTCTCTCATTTTAATGACAATTTTTCCCATATGTTTACCGGTTGTCATATAACGGAACGCTTTGTCCGCATCCTTGGCCTCAAACAATGTATAATTAATTGGTTTAACGCAACCATTCTTACAGTTCTTGTGAACCCAATCGTAGAAATCGGGGAAGAAATCCATTTCATCCATAATAACGATATCGATAACAATACCAATGAATTGAATATTGCGCACAAAATCAAACATGCCCAATTGCTTGTTTTGAAACATGTCGTACCGACCGATCTCCACAAAGCGGCCGCTATTGGCCACACACTCGTACGACGCGTCCAACTTCTCGCCCGCCAATGAATTCAACACAATATTCACTCCCTTTCCAGCCGTCAGTTTCAACACTTGATTCTTGAATACGATATCTCTTGAGTTGAATATCTTATTCTCCGGTATATTGTATTCATTCATCAAAAACTGTTTCTTCTCTTCCGTCCCAACCGTCGCATAGATATCGCAGTCGTAATGCTTACACATATTGATGGCCGCCTGACCCACACCTCCCGCCGCAGAGTGTATTAATATACTTTCACCTGTCAATTACAAATTCATTTAAGTATATTATTATTATAATAAATTAGTTAATTTTGTTTGTATAATAGTATTCGCTAATTATTAAAAGCATTTTAAAATTAAACTATCATATTTGTATTAACACAATAATTACAAATTATAATAGTTGTGCACAAGCAAATATTAATGTTTTCCCAATTATATTATAAAATTACAATTCAAATTAATTAGTGTATAATTATATGTTATTAAAACAAACCTTTTTTAAGATTAGCCCGTTTAATGAGCGCGTAATACAGAGTGCTATATGTGCTCAATATAGTGGTCGCGTCTGCCATCGACCAGTGCTCGGGAACTGTAGTCATGCTATGAATGCTGGCGTTCAGCGAAGTGGCAAAAGTACGCCCCATATCTATACCCATCACCCGTTCGCCGGTATCCACGCGACGGCCCACGTATTCACAGCCCATCACACAATCAGAGAACAGCTGCTCCGGACCGGCGGGTATGCGACCTGTGAAGTATAATTTTAGTAATCGTGTTAAATTGTGTACAAATTAATGACTTATTTTATTATGTAAAATAAAGCCAATTATTTGATTACCCGAAGCGACCATAACGTCGTGAAACGAAATGCCCGAACAATAGATCTCAACCCGTGTTTTGGAAATTTCTTCGTTATTAAAATTCCAATACTTTTTAATTTCGGGTAATTTCCGGGAATCATACCATTGAATGCCCGCCAAGTCTTTTGTTGTGCCGGAGTTTAGATAATAATTATTTGAAACACATTTATCAAAATCATTGGGAAGTTTTAAGTGTCGATAAGTTCCCAGTTTTCCCCCTTTGATTACATTTGCGACCAAATCGTTGGCCAATATATCAGAATAGGGTTTAGTATTGAAGTCAATGTTAGTATTGGTGTCCATATGGAAGATATACCGGAAGTTCTCTCCGCCCGGTTCTAAACGCAAACAATTCATTAAACCAATGATACCATTAATACACGAATCCTGAGACACGAGCCATACGTTATCCGTTTTATTGTCCGCCTCTTTAGCGGCGATCAGTTTTTGCTGCAATATTTCAAACCATTGCTGATAATCACCGGTTATTTTGATAACATTGTGTTTTTCAGGGACTATAGGTTTGTGAATGATTTTCCTAAACATTAGGCATTGAGTGCCGATTGTATCGCTTTTTGCAGCGATTAAATTAAATCCAGTTTTAGTGGCAATCGATACAAACTTTTTGATTCTTAAATCTAATTCATTATTACTGGGAATTGTGTTTCCCGTCAAAGACATGAACGCAATCTCCGGTTCCGTAAACTTATACCGAAATACCGATAATAGGAATCCATTGCTGTTTATGGAGTCAAACAAGTCTTGAGTAAATTTATTCAAATCCATTTGCCATAAGTCTTGTGAGTCTCTCATTATAACCAAATGCGAGGGTTTTAATGGTATGTCATCTTTAAGTTGCCATTCAGTAGCTCTTTCTCTATACAATTCATTCACCGATTGTTTACTTTTAACAATCAGTTTGTAATCGACTTCAAAGGGAAGTACACGAAAATGTGTGACAATCTGTTCCACATCTTTGGCCATAAAACTGTTACTCATATTAATTTCGGTGATATTTATATCACTATTTGTTACATAATTTTCGCAAACAATTTCCACCAATGATCTGATCATACGTTCATTCTTCTGGATCTGATTCACCAAATCTTTACTCAAATCGTATTCACTATTTGTTTGGATTTCATTCAAAATCTTTGCCACTTCTCTATCGTTCAGTTTATTACGATTTTGATCGACAACTTCTGCCAATAATTTATCAAATGTGCGAAACATAACATGATTTTCAGTGCTTTCGCTCCGCAATTCTTGCAGCACTTCTTCACCGACTTTTTGGTAATTAAAATCGCATTTCATTTCTTTAACACACAATTGCTTTACTTTGGCGGCCATTGACTTACAAACCTATGATTTAGTCATTATATCATTAGTTAAAATATTATCCTATATGTAATGAATGAAAATTATTATCTATAATTTATAATTATTTTTTTATAATTTATTTCTTACTTGTTTTTAATAATTTATTATTAATTTATAATTATCTATACCTCTAAATACTTGGACACAGCGAGCGATAAGCTGTCATCGATGGCGTGATTATCATCGTTGGCGCAGAACTCGGCCGAATCCAAGACCAGACCAGTGGTGTCCGTACGTCGGGGTACGGGAAATACGATAACCTCTTCGAGTTCAACGCCGGGAGAAACCAATTGTTTTGTATCCAAATTGTAATAAAACGGTATTCGCGACGAGTATTGAGCGAAACGTTCGGCGAATCGCGACTTTTCTCTTTCCATAATCGCCGAAACGGCGTTGTGTTCGCCGCTCGAGTCGGGGCCTATTTGGCCGCCCATAACACCGTCGACATCGATGTTCAATTGGCTCGGATTAAAGCTTTGGGCGCCGCCATCAGCGCCATCAGCACCGGTCGTCTCCTCCTTTTGATGTCTGTGTCGTTTGATAGCGTCAAACATAAGGCGCGGGTCGAGCCTTAACTTGCGAATCAGCACCGGTAACAGCATTTTGCGAAAGGGCACCGATAGGGCCCGCGATTGGGACAACGCGTCCATATAACTGACGAACTGTCCGTCCCATTCGCACACACCGTAGAATTCGTTGAAGTCATTTGTGCCCACTTTGTGGAGCCGTTGAAACGCCGGCCCGTAGTCTAAGCCCATAATTCCCAAATCTTTGTATATGTCGGCCTTATTAACCGAGTACTGGCTCTGAGATAGTTTGCACTCGTTTTCGTAGATCAGGTGCTGCGCTATTAGCACGTCATCGCCCGGCGCACGGATTTTGCCCGACACGCAAGCGTTTTCGTTCTCGTATATTGAAAAATCACCTAGATTGATTTTAATAAGTCAGCATAATTAACTATAGCGTTAAACGGACAATTATATTTAAACAAATGTTACATTAAAACTGTACGACATATCTAACCGGTTAACGGAAAATATTTCACTGTAAGAATAGTGTCTTGGTCCTTGGTTAAAAATACGGCCCTTTTTAATTGAACATTCTCAAATATTACGGGTACGCTGTGCCATAGTTTGCCCATATCGGCCGCCAGTTTACGCCAGGCCAGCATTAAATAGCCGGTGGCCGGGAATATAGGGTTGCCGTCCACGGAGTGGTCCAAATAAAACTCGTCCTCTTTTGTGTCACAATTGATGACAACATTCATGTCAGCGGCGTTTCCCCGACACCAGCGCTCCGGATATATATGGCGCTGAATAACAGAACTGTGATCCCATTTGATCAACGAGTTAATCGACTGCGTATTCCTGGCCACCGGCCACTCACACCGCGGGTACAGTTTATCCGGCGATAGGTTAACGCCCAACTCGTACAGAGTGGCCAAACCGGACAAAAATAAGTCCATATTCTTGTCGTTGGAATCCTTTTTAATGAGCGACACATAAGAGGACTCATTGAGCGTTTCGGTCACTATTTTGCCGAACAGTGAATGCGGACCGATCTCTAAGACAATGGCGTCGGCCGGCAGTTGTTTGATGCGATCGTAAAACTGAACTGAGTTGACCAAATTGTGGGCAAAATACTCGCCTGAAGCGCACCGCAGGGCCTCTTCTGTCGGGTCGGCGATCAACAGTGAAGTGGACAACCATTTCTTGGAGCGCGGCTTCGGATGCGGTATATGTTTATTGATGGCGTCGATCAACGGTTGGGCAGCGGTTTGGATGTATTTTGAATGGTAGGCAATATTACTGCTCTCTAATTGGCGGACAAATATATTTTTGTCGGCCAATGCTTTGATTGTTTCTTTCATCTCTTTTTCCAAACCTTTAAAGTATGAAATTATATATTTATTTAGCATTTAATTAGATTTTTGTTATATATTATATTTACCGGAAATAACGACACTATCCTTAGCGTTATTACAGGCGATGTAAACACCGTTTGGGCACAACTTCTGGGCCTCAGACTTGGGTAACCCCACGACAGCCATCAGTCCTTTTGGAATAGTTTTGTTATTTTCTGTGACTATCCCTCGGATTGATGTGACGACCATTGCTTCCCTAGTGTTGAGACACCCGTCAGCGTAAGCACAGGCTATCTCTCCAAACGAGTGGCCAATTATGCCGTCGGGAGTGATGTCCAGCGCTTTCATCACTTCAAACAACGCTATCTCTATAGCAGTCGTCGAACAGAACTTTGCGGTCATTGAAGCCATCGATGCCTTGTCTTCAGATAATAACATTGTTTTCAAATCAATGCCAAACTCGTTGAGTATTTGATGGCATTCTTCCACTTTATCGGAGAATATCTTGATTGTCATCAAAGCCTTAGCCATTGCCGGCCACTGACCGCCCAAACCCGGGAACAGTAGCCATAGAGGTCGAGCACCTTTGCCTTTTTGAAAGCCTATTTGTCTCTTGTATTCATAATTAATATTATCATTACTTTCCGACACCTTTTTTATTATAAGTGAGCCTGTTCAAATTTATTAAATTCAATTATTTAAATAATATCTATTATACAATTAATTCCTACCCCTGAACGGCATTCCCGATGAGTTAACATTAGGCGTGTATTTCATAGTCTGCGCCAAAAGTGCCAAAAAGTCATTCGTCACTCTCTTTGGGTTGTTTTGTATGAAATCCATTACATATTTGACCGCATCTTCAGTTCGGCCGCAAATGTTGACAATTCTGGGAATCGTTTCCGCAATTCTCAGTCCATCACTGGTTCCCAACTTATGGTTGGGTTCGAGCAATACGTGTGCGTTGGCACCGCCGATACCAAAATTGCTCACTGCGGCCAACCCTAGCAAAACATGCGTACATAACAATTTATTAAAATTGATATTATCTGATCATGGTAACATTTGTATATTTTATTTGTCGATAATCTTAATTTGCTAATATTGAAATTATATATAGATGTATTCAAAAGCAAACCTGGTTTGTATGGCATCGGTTCCACAATAGGCTCTATAGGCGGGCAATAAGGAAGGCATTCATCCTTCAGTTGTTTCATATTAAGGTTGGGAGGAATGCACTCATTTTCATATGCAATACACACTTTAATGAGTGCGGCCACCCCTGAACCGGCCTCCGCGTGACCCATGTTACTTTTCAACGCACCCAACGGCAGGGGTTGTGTACGTCCCGGAGCCTTAACGTAGGCATTATATATGGCCTTTATTTCTTGCGGATCACCCGCCTATGCGATAACAATTGATTGCATTATAGTTGTTACAATACACTGTAATAATAATAAAACGAAATTAAAATTTCTAAATTGTACCTTGGTGCCGGTACAGTGAGCTTCGAAATAGGTGAGGTCAAGCGGATTGATGTTGACCTCGGTATAGGTGTCAATCATGAGCTCTTGCTGTGCGTCGGCCAATGGGAAGAACATTCCGGTCGTCTTATTGCCATCGATGTTCATCTTGGCATTGACCATGGTCGCGTACACACGCCGGGCGTCGCGCCGGCGCTGTAGGAAAGCACAGCACACGGCCTCGCCTTTGATGAAACCGTCGGCGTTTTGGTCGAGGACTGCGGCCACACCTCTGGGCGAACACAGACCCGACTTGCGTACACACGCCGGGCGTCGCGCCGGCGCTGTAGGAAAGCACAGCACACGGCCTCGCCTTTGATGAAACCGTCGGCGTTTTGGTCGAGGACTGCGGCCACACCTCTGGGCGAACACAGACCCGACTCCTGTTGGAACTGCAGTACGAATGGCTCGAACAGCATATGAGTGCCGCAAACAATGGCCGTATCGATGTTTCCTATTGTTTAACAAATTTTAAACATTTAATGCATTGTTTCAATGATGCCTCGCATACCGAGTCTCATGTCATTCATAGCCAGAGTAGTGGCCGATAGACTGGCCGAACAGGCGGTGTCCACCAGTAGTGACGGGCCCTTGAAATCAAACACAAATGATATACGGCTGGGATAAAGGGATTTCAAATAGGAGAGGTGGTTCATCGTCGCTCGCTGCACATTTTGCTTTAAATCGGGCTGAATATCTTCGGGATAGCCATCAGTCATGGGATATTGGGAGAC